GTTTCCTACCGACATGAAGGAATTGGATTGCTCACATGCGTGTCACATGCGGCTCCCTGCTCCCGGAAACGACAGGGAAACGACATCGAGGACGCGGTCTCGACACCGCCGGCGGATACCGCACGGTCGAGACCCGCGGTCGGTCCGACCGACGGCCGACGTGGCCAACGAGGCGTTTGATGTGGTACCTGGACCACTATCGAGTCTCGGCGGTGGTTTCTGGCGGGAAGTAGACGGCGAACGACCCGGAGAACGGCGAAGGGTGGTGTAGTTGGTGCCATGTGTTGGTGGAAAGGGGTGGAGAGATTGGGGCATGCATGGATATGCATGGTGGGTAGGAAGAGTGGATATAAGGGGTTCCCCAAAGATCTTTCAAATGGCATGCCACAAGACACCGAAGATGGCACCAGCACCTGAAAGACCGAAGAGCAGTTTCTTCCAAGTGCGTGTCTTCCACTTTCATAGTCAGTTAGGTTTGGGGATTGCATTGGGGTTCCTTCTCACAAGTTGTGCCTCAGTGACAGAGCATTACAAGGAGGAAAGGCTAGTTGTTTTGGGGAGTAGGAAGACCCCCAACCAATGGGTAGACTGTAGACTGGTCTATTTCCCAACCAATGGGGTCTGCCTATGTAAATACACACCCATGTTGAGTGTCCATGAGCAGCAGATTGATCAGCGCCCTGGGGCGAGTGCTTATCAAACACCAAGCAAAACAGGCCTCACGTGGCATGTATGGGAGGGGTCTCAGATGGCATCCTTCCTCGCTTGCACAGAAAAGTTTCTAAAGGTCTTCAGTCTTCACTCATGAACATGCTTTTCAGAACCCCAACTGATTCGAAGGTTCCACACTGTTGGGGCTTTTTTTGTGGCACGACGTGTTAAAGAAAGTATATATAAGAAAGTTAGTTAGTGTTAAATATCCTTTCCCCTGTTCAATCCCTTCACCTCCAGCGGAGGTTGTAGGAGAATGTGCCCCCCCACCCCAAGTCAACAGCATTGGTGTAGGCTGGGATCAGTGAGGAATGGAAGAGGTACGGGTCCAAAAACAACACAAAGGTCGTTCAAACCTCTCCGACAACGTTCATTTTGTGGCCCAAATGTATGTTTTCAACTGCAAGAGTCTTTAGCGGAGATGTCTCTTAGTTGGCTGAAAGCAAACACTTGCCTCCAAAACAGTTATATCAAAAAGGAAATTCATAGACATATAAATTGCCACCAAAAACACTCAGGCAATTAGGAACCTGTTAAATCAGAAGGCAACCTGTTAAATCCTATAGAAGTTTGCTGACCTGTGGAGAAATTCATCGAAATTCACCAGGTTGACCTGGTCGGGGGGCAAGCCGCCCTGCCCGGCGACTCCGAGGATTCTTGTACAAGATTCGCCGCGAGCACTACTTCCAGCGCCAACTCCAGGTGTGAGGGCCAGAGGTTAAGTGACCTTACAGGACCCTACAGCGGTACCTATAGGATAGTCCATAGGGTTCTTCAACCTCTGCTGGGATGGTCTACCTAAGAGTCTGGGGTGTGAGGGTTCCCATGCCAAACGGCCTGAATTCCAACCCCGGCGTGGCAGCAAAGCATTGCAAAACCTTGGAAAGTGAAAGCCTTCACCGCTGCACATGGTGCTTGCTGACATTGCTTGCCAGATGCCCTGCCTGAATCAATCTGAATCACCGGGTTTGAAAGCCATCGAACGAATTCTCATCACCGACCCTACAGCGGCCAAAAAGCAGAGTCTCGCAAGCTCCTCACCAATCTGATACCGGCTGTGTATTGACACGTGACCTTCCTACCATGTTCTACCTTCCTTGCTACGCCTGAGGCACCTGGTGCGAGGATTCTGTCTGCCTTCTTGACCCAAAGCCCTTCCTTTCAGAGTCAATGGCACCGACCATCAGCCGCGGTCCTTTACATGGAGGTTCATCTAAACCACCTAGCAGGGGGGATACATTCGACTAACACCCCTTCAACGGGTCCACAGAGGCCACTCTGCGGGGTCACCCTGATCTCTCGGATGGGGGTCTGTGCCATTGGTTCTCGCAATCCAAAGACACTTCGCTGCTCGGCGAATCGTCCAGGAACCTCGCCGCATCTCGCCGCCGCATCTCGCTGGGCCGCAGAGTCTTCTCGTTCTCGGCGGACGGATGGACGACTCGGCTGACGGCTGACGCCGCTCTCTCTCTCTCTCTCTCTCTCGTTGCTGTGGAAAGCATCAGCGATCAGCTTTTCGAGTTCATCTTCGCTGATTTGGGACTTCTAAGAGACTTCTGACTTGAGACTTGCTTTGAGTCTTAAGGTCCCAAGTCAGATATTTCTCTGCTGATTTTTCTCAAGACTTCTGACTTGGGACCTCAACCTTTTGCACAAAGATATGGTGATGTTTTCCCAATGAACTCAAGATATATGGTGGCATCCGAGCACAGGGTGTTGCACGGGCTTTGAGGATATTGTATACAAAGACTCCAAGTCGACTGGATGTGGCAAGCCAGTTGAAGGTTCAAAGCCGCCCACAAATTCGAAGCACAAAGAGAGTCTGCTAGGTGGGGACTACATTCGCAAAAGAACGTTCTTGAAACCATGCAGAGGTTGTGAAACCAGCTGGTTTCTCCATGTAGGAGTTTCGTTCAAAAAGAAGCCCCATCGGAGAATTGCAACCATTGAATGCTCCCTGGGCGCACAGAATTGAGAAGGCTCTACATTTTCTCCAAGGCTGGTTGTTTCGTGTTGTTTGGGATAAACTTGGTTTGGTGTGGCATCTTTTCCCAGTTCACCCCACGTGCTCGCGGCTGACTTTGCATTGCATCACACGCGCGCGCCCCACCAAAAACAATGAGTGACGTTAACCTCGCAATGCACGCCCCGATGGGGAAAAAATATCATGTGTTTTTGCGCTTTGTTTTTGGCCATGAGTTGACTTTGGCGGTGCCGGTTCTAAGGGGGTCATACTAACTCACGAAGATGCTACTAGCTGCTACTATAATGCTTCACACGGGTCACCACGACGGCTAGCGGTATTTGATTTTAGGTACTTGGAGCGACCATTGACGCTCTCCGGGGCTCAGTGGGAGAAGCGTGCCACGCTTTTTTGCTTGATGGTGCGGAACAGACTCGGCTTCGCGAGACGTGGAAGAACATCACAACAAGTGCTTCTTTGCTTGTTCACGGGCCCCAAGGCCTAACCTTGTGTTGCAGGTCCTTTTCGCGGATGGGTGTTGAGTTTGAACGACGCAGGAGTTCCTGAACACATCAATCATCTATCTCACACTGAGGCCCCAGAGGCGTTGACCCATTCCCATAACTCAAGTCTTGCACACTCACGCATACACACTCACCCACCGTCCGTACCTCTTGGTCTAGCCAAAACAGCCAAGGGAAGAGGGAGGTGCAATTTCAACGAACATAAGCATACATAGCAGCGGTATCCTAAGGTAAGCTTGCCCGACATCTCCCTGCTCCGGTTCTCACTGGTTCTCGCTTCCGGTGGCTCAGGCGTGACCACAGCAACCAGGGTTCGGTCACCAGCCACTGCAGCTACTGGAAAGCTTAGCTTGGAAACCTTGGGGGCATCTTAAAAGCCAAACACTGACCATGGCTAGCTCAACACAGGTGCTTCAGCGGCCCGCTGTCAGGCCCCTGCCTTGCTCGGTGAGGGGTTTGTGATCTGTACAGCCTGGATTGAACTCCTTGGCCAAAACCAGCTGGTTTCTCCACGTAGGAGCTTCGTTCAAAAGAAGCCCCATCAGAGAATTGCAACCATTGAATGTTCCCTGGGCGCACAGAATTGAGAAGGCTCTACTTGGTTTGGTGTGGCATCTTTTCCCAGAAACAAAACGTATGTTTTTGCAATGGCGTCTCGACCCGTGCAAAAAAAAACATTCGTCTGTTTTTGCACTTTGTTTTTGGCCATGAGTTGACTTTCGCGGTGCCGCTTCTAAGGAGGTCATACTAACTCACGAAGATGTTGCTACAAGAATGCTTCATGGGTCACTGCGACAGCTAGCGGTATTTGATTTTAGGTACTTGGAGCGAGCACCGTTGATGCTTTCCAGGGCTCAGTGGGAGAAGCGTGCCACG